CTTTCTATTTAAGTCTATCTTTTCTTTACCTATAAAAATTTCCAGAAGATTCTGTGTTTGCTTTTATATTCTCACAGATGTACAAAGAGGAGTTAAAGAGTAAACTAGCATATCCCATTTTAGTAGAGGAATGCCTTTTTGAAGAAACTTAATTTTGGAAAAACTTTTCCATTGCTTATACAATTTGCAGAGAAATGGACATATATAATATTTTGACATCTTATAATAACTTCACGTCTTTGATTATTAGAAACCTAAAGTATGACAATAGAAACATTACTATAATTTTTATTTCAACAAAGTAAATGCAACACTAGAATAATCTCATAATTTCTCTATTATAACCTATGGCTTTAACTATGACGTGAGTAAAGTGAATTGTAGCATATATTCCTAAGCATGATTGCAGAGTGATTGAAATATCACCTCCCTTAATTTAAAGTATTTTTCCATTTTATCTTCATATTTATTTCTTGCTGGTGTTAAATGACATTTACATCAATATATTAATATTATTATAGTATTATTACTAGAGATGTTAGCATTATAGTGTTCCTTTTTAACTATAATTGTTTAACATGTTATTTTCTATGTTCTTAATTATTTAAATGATAGTAATTGTTTTATTTTTATGAGCATTCTGACATTAGAGAATAAACAAAAACATTTTATTTTGTAATTGAAAAACCTCATCTTTCTATAAAGTCTGAGAAATATACATGTATGTCTTTGTATATAAGGTATCACCGATGTGCTTGTGGTTTCTAGAAAATTGATATGTTTAGAATAAGCAATGTTGGAAATTAATTTGTAATACTAATTTTGATTCAAATATGTCCAATTGATTTAAGTATCTAAATTAAAATTTCTTGATAACCTAAGGGTAGATTAATGATTCTTATATTGTGAAATATTGATAGTCATGAAGTTATAGTACAGTCCAACTTTCAGTGTATTTTTATCATAAAATGGCTTTGGTGTTTCAAATAATAGTGATACTAATAACCTGATTTATCATATAATGCTCTGTGCCAGACATCAAATAAAGTGCTTAACATGCATTCATTTTCCACCTATAGGTTTGGAAAAGATATTCGCAGTATTTTATTTTAAAGGTGAAAATAAAGCTCAAAGGGGTTATACAATTTATAAATGATTATATAGAAAATGGCTCAGTAGGCTTCAATTTAGGCCATCATGGTTTCAAAATATTTGCTTGTAACCATTACTGTATTCAGTAGGGTGCTGGTACTGGTGCAGGGAACAGATGCTAGAAGCTCTTTGTTATCTACTTGGGTAGCCAGTTGTTAAATTATGGACCATGTGCGATAAACTTTGGTAGAAATATGTGCACCACACAAATCAGTTATAATGCTAGCAGTGAAGACTTCTCTCATATTCTTTCTTCTCCCCAACCAGTTATTAGCATTAACTGCATTTATTGTTAAATCTTGTGAATATTTATGCTTCAAGTTACAAATGTCAATACCAGAATACATTTAAAAAAATTTTTGTACCAAGTAGATATTGTCTATAAGCTAGCGTGCAGTAAGAGATTTGGTAAGAATCATTATGGAAGCATGCCAACTTTTACTGTCAAATACCTAAAACATTTTGCTGAATTCATGCACCTACGATGTTTGGATGGCAGTGGGAATACCCATCTCTGACAGAACTGAACAAAAAGGTGATATAAATGAAGGTCAATTTTGTATCTGTATATACAAAAGAGTTAGGATAGATATATAGCTACTTCGTTTTAATTCAGTAAGAAGAAAGATCTGTACTAATAGAGTTTGGAAAGAATACGTGTCTACATCTTGTGCTATGAATGACTACTACAAAGACAACAATATGCAATGTATTAATTGTAACTCTCCTACCAACCTGTTTTGAAGCTGTCACATTGCAATTTTTTTCTCAATAAAATTAATTTAAAAAATTTCTGAAAGAGAAAAATTGTAAAATAATCATCCCTCTCTCTTTTTATTTTAGTGATAGTGGAAAGTGGAGATGTCATTTCTTTTGTGGCTTTTATTAATTATGGATATTGTAAAATTTATAGAAGTATTATAGGACTTGTGAAACTACCATCAAATAAAGCAGTAAGTTTTAAATTTGTGTCTTTTTTCTTAATAATGAATATACTAATAAATAAGAAATTATAAATAGCTTTTCTGATATTTATTGAACAATAGTTTTTGTTGCTTGATGAAATTTCAGTGCATTTTTCACCATTTTTGATTAGTTTTTTTTCTCTTGAGTTATAAGACATAAGAATGTAAGAATTGAGATATACTGTTATAAAATATAAAAATAACCAATAAGTATGGTAATTGATATGTTGCATTTGTATTTATGAGAGTGGGAGAATTTAAAATCCTAACAAGGTGGGGGCCGGGGAGATAGCTCAGTAGAATACACACTTGCTTGCAAGCAGAAGGGCCTGAGTTCAACCCCTGGTTCTGCAAAAACAAACAAACAAAAATCCTAACAAGGTAATAGTACAACTACAATGGACTGGCTAAGATATATTTTAACATATCACCCAAAAATTCCACTGTAGATATATACTCATTAAATAAAAATATTATTTTTTAAAAAAATATTTTACTTTATTTTATTTTATTTATTTATTTTTTTTGCAGAACTAGAGATTGAATTCAGGCCCTTGTGCTTGCCAGGCAAGCGCTTATTCTACTGAGCTATCTCCTTGGCCCCTTTACTTTATTTTAAGAAGTAGAAACAGGGAAAAAAAAGACAGAAACAGGGTAACCCAACAATACATACAGCACAGATGAAAATGTATCATGACTTCTCTCAATGAGAAATCTATAAATATATTTTAGAGAAAATGTAAATACAATAGAAAACATAGAGACAGATCTTTTTCAAAAAGCAAAGGGCCCAAGAGGTGAGGGAGGGAGAAGGGTAGAGAGGATTTTAAAAACTATTAAGATGAATTATGTACATGTACCTACTCCTCACACGAAATGTAATTATTATGTACTGAAAACATATACTAAAAATAAAAAAGAAAAATATATGTCCAGAGAAGCTTACATAAATCCTCAAAACCCCAAACTGAAGTTAATCCAAATGTCTATTAGATTTTTTTTTTCTGTACCAGAAATCAAACTCAGGAGCTTGCGCATCTAGGCAGAGGCTAAGCCACTGTACTATCCCCCACTCCCTAAGTGCTGGACTGAAGCAGTGTCATCTGCTTACACACTGGACCCTGCACAACAATCAAAGAACTAATGATCATGCAAGAACATGGGCATGTCCTAATTTATTAAGCTAGTTAAAATGTCAGATTCCAGAATATCTTTCGTATAATCACATTCGTTCACTAAAACAAAACTTAATGTACAGTAATAGAAAATTAAAATTAATCTTAGGGGTTGGGGAAATGGCTCAGTAGAATAAGCACTTCCCTGGAAAGTGCAAGGGCCTGAGTTCAACCCCTGGTTCCGGAAAGAAAAAAAAATAAAAATTAATCTTTCCTGTCCAGTTTTAGTGGAATTCAAATAAATATACAGACTGACTTAACTCCTTCTGTGATGCGCCTAGTCAGTGTAAAGATTTGCCATTTACAGCAATGGCTTTGATCCCATCATACTGCATTTGGTAGATTCTACCTCTTAAGAAACCCTATTATCTTCCTATCTTGAAGATTACACTCCTTTTTTATGTTTTACCATTCACGAGAATCATACTCATTTCAATACTGATTGGATTTTCTAAAGAGAGAAAATTTGGAGACTCAACTTTTTCTCTAGAGAAATCCATAGGGTACCCCAATAGATGCTTTTCTGAGGGGCCCTAATGTCATTTGCCTTAAGTGTGCTGAAGGTTCTATGAGTTTCCTCCTGGTCTACTACAAACACATATGTAAGTGTTTCAGTGATTGGAGTGAAACTTTAAATTTACTGTAAGTAGTGAAGTGCTTTATGAACAACTGAATTTATCATGACAGCAATACTTATTGTTTGTACTTTCATTATTTGTCAATTATCTATCTTTTTTCAGAAAAGGACCCGAAAGCTTGTTTACATGGGCAAGCTTAAGGAGAAGGAGTCATTCGGTGAGATCAGTGCTCTGCTCAAAGTTCCCTTCTCCTGTACTATTGTTGCTGGCAGTGATGTGCAAATGGCTGTCATTGAGGACAAGGACTTATTTGGTAAGTGCTTAAATTATAGTTCAACTCTTACATCACATTATTGGGTGAGTTTGAAATAAATGGAAGTGTTTCACAGAAAAGTTGAGACACTTGGGTGGGAGTATGTTACTTACAGAGAGAGCACAAACAGGGTCTGGGGAGATAGCTCAGTGGAATAAGTGCTTGCCTAGCAAGGTCCTGAGTTCAATCCCTGGTACCACCACCAAAATAAATAAATAAATAAATAAATAAATAAATATAATAATAATAATAAAGGGTACATACAAAAATATATGAGTTTCTGTTTCCCATAGCATTGTGACTCAGTTATACTATTTTTGTTACGTATTAGCAATATTTCAAAGGACTTTGACTCATAGTTCCTAAAATCTCTCCGATTTACCATGAAAAATAACCACCTCGTCATTCTTGGACATCTTTTAGTTTTCAGCTGTAATGTTATTGCTTTTTCTTCTGGTTTAGGTCAAGTACATACTATACTCAATGTACAGTGTAACTCAAGTGTATATAAAAAGCCATGCTTTTTAGTATTTAAGCTTTTTCAGAAATTGAGAGATCAACTACTGATTAAAAAATAGTTATACAACCACTGATGTTTGGCCCTGGAAATGGTAGAAATACTAAAATAAAATAAGTAATTTAGTTTGAGAAAAAATCAGTAGTAGCTAAGCAACAAAATATTTGAAAAATATTCTATGTATAATATATCTGAAGAATGTCAAGGACTGGATAAAAAATGAGAAGGGAAAAATCTGTGGAAATCATTATGGATGAGAGGTTTGGAAAGGTGTTCATGTTCTCCATGTGTGATTTAGTCTTCTCTTGAATTTCAAATGCCTCTCCATCTCCTATATATCATACACTTGCTTAATGCTGGCTCAAAATGAAAAGAATAATTCAAGTTCATATATTAAGTTTTAAAAGTCATGAATTTGAAATATTTTTAAAATTTTCCTTCTCTGACATTCAAATGCACTTCCTTTCAAGGCAACTATCTCTCAGATGTAATCCCTAATGTTAATTAAAATTATAATATTTTCTTTTTTATGTATTTAATACAGGGTCTAGAAGATCTCACTACACATATCAGACTCATAGTGATCCTCCTACTTTCAGCTTCTCAAGCCCTGGGATTATAGGCAAGCTTCACCATGCCCAGTCTCAGTTGCTGTCTCAGTGTGCCCAGGAGGTAGGGCCAGCACGGCTTGGGGATCAAACCCCAGTCCCCTGCGCTTGCCTAACCAGGCGCTTTAGTCCACTGAGCTACCTGGCCAGCCCATAATATTTTCTGATATAGGCCATGTGTTTCTTTTTCCTTACTAATTAGATTAGTTAATGTGGACTCTTTAGGGATGGCCAAATTGCTCAGCAGATTAAAGAGCCTGCAAGCAGGTGCAGGGGCCAGGGGTTCGATCCCCGGGCCTGCTGTCTCAACCCCGCTGCCCGGGCACAATGAGATGGCAATTGAGACTGGGCTTGGTCACGCATGCCTGTAATCCCAGCTCTTGAGAGGCTATAAACAGCTGGATCTCTATGAGTCCGATCTAGTAGTGAGACTCTGAACACCCTGTAGACCCTTCTCTAAAATACAAAAAAAAAAAAAAAAAAAAGGACTCTTATGTAAGTCAACATTGCGCGCATCATATTGTCCAGTGCTCTGATGAGATTCAGAAGCAATTAGAGATAAATATCTCATATTAAACCAGGCATATTATTTTTTGTAATGAAATACATTTATTTTTGTACAAAAAATTTGCTGTTATTTAGTGTAGCTAATTCAACTACACACAATTAAAAATAGATGCCTATCTTTTCCCAAAGAAAAATCCCAATCCCAAACTAACATTGGTACAAACTACAGTATCTGACAGTTTTTGTATTTAAATAGGAGGAATGTTGAAAGACTCATATTTCTCAGAATGATTCACTTGATCGAAAGCTAATGATAGTTTTATTTTTTAACCACAAAGGAGTCTGTTAGATATTTCAGTGGCAATAAATGTATTATCTTCAGAAACACCTATTTATCAATACTTCAGTAATTGTTCCTGTTGAGACATTATAGACAGGTTTCTTCTTGTTAGCAATGATAATTAAAAGTTTTATCTTTTGATTAGTTTACTGTAGGATATGTGTTTCTCTTTTGCCTTTTGTTTTTGTATTTGTTTTTCTTTTCTTTTTTTTTTTTTTTTTTTTTTTTTTTTTGCGGAACCAGGGATTGAACTCAGACCCTTGCACTTGCCAGGGAAGCGCTTACACCACTGAGCCATCTCCCCTGCCCCTTGTTTTTCTTTTGTGATAAGGTTTTTGATGCAAAAATGCATTTCCAAGTTAAACATAAGATATCACATTCCTCTAAATACAAGACAGAAATAAAGAAAGCATCCAACAATAGGATCCACTTGTCAGTAGTTTTTCTTTTTTGGTTTTATTTTGAAAATAATCTCACAATTTTCACATACTTAGATTAAAAGACTTAAGAACAATAATTCTGTTTTTTTAGCACAGAAATATTTTAAAACTAACATCACTCTGAGTGGGTAAATGCCGCAGTAATTATTGTATGTAATACGTAGCTCGTACTGTGGAAAATGCACACAAAAGATTCACAAAGGAATTTTCTAGTTTTTCATGTACTTTGATATTTGTTGTTAGTCTTGGTCATTTGAAAAGTGAGTGTAATGACCTCAGGATTTATTTATTTATTTATTTATTTATTTATTTATTTAGCAGTACCAGGGATTGAACTCAGGACCCTGCGCTTTCCAGGCAAGCGCTTATTCTACTGAACTATCTTCCCAGCCTTTCAGGATTTATTTTTAAGGTATACAATGTACTGTGTAATTTTTAATTGCCACCAGAGATGTTGTTAAATTTAGTCTTGGAAGATACATCTAAACTTAATTTAAGATTTATGGGCCTGCTACATTTCATATTATTTTTTTCTGGCTGTAACACAAACCTCGTAACGTTATCAGTTTAAAATATTCATTTATTATCTTACAATTTCATAGGTAGGATGACTGGAACATTTGACAAGGTTGTTTTTAGATTCAGACACTTTAAATCAAAGTGTTGCTCATACATGGTTCTGATAGGGAGATTGTGGAGAAGATTCCAATTCTAAGGCCATTAAAGTTGGAAAATTTTAGTTCCTAATCACCTAAAGGCAACGAGTAACCTGCTTTCTTGCTGCTGTTAGCTCAGGTTCACTCTAGAGTACTATCCATAAGGTCTGCTAAATTTTAGAAATGCAAATTTCTCTTTTATTGAATTTATCTTACATTTTTATTCTGACTTCTTTTTCACTACCAGCTGGAGAAAACTCTTTGCTTTAGGAATTCATGTGGTGAAATTAAAAAGACCCAGACAGTGTCCCTATTGTTATACCAACTGATCAGCATCCTTAATTGTGCTTGCAGAGCCAAAGTGCGTCTGCTATACATTGTAGCATAATTACAAGCTCGTGACCTGAAGGCAAGAGAGGCCACCATAGAGTTAGTTGTACGACTCTACGCTGGAGGCCAGCAGTTGGGACCAAGAGGCCGTGGTAAACGTGCTTGCTTCACAACTCTGTCCTCCAATATTCTATCCACAGCTTCTGATTTCTTTGTTACTGGACAAGATGGTAATTGTGGAAAAGGGGATGGCAAAAAATGATAAGGGAGTGAGATGATGTTATTTGACTGTTAGAGTTAAGCAGTTGATCGCTTCTTGTATTTGACAATTGTTTCGAGCTTTCCTAGTGAACACCTTCAAAGGTTTCTAGAAATCCTTTAATACTGGAAAGGGACATTAGCCTGTAATATCCTGTGTGGCAATACTTATCTTTTCTTAGAATCTGGTATAACTAACTGCAGGTTTACTCTGCTTGGACACTTCATTGTCATTTTGTCCCATCTCCAGCGTAAATCTAATGTAACTCAGTTCTAACTGTCTTCTATCTGGGTTTCTGGTCTGTCTAGTCAAGTCTACATTTTGAGACATTCTCACATTTTAAGAGGACAGGTATTTCCAAAGCAGCTATTTGTGCCACCTGTTTAGACTTCTCAAAGGGCAGTCAGATCATAATGTACTGTGTCTTTTAACTACTGATATGAATATGAAGCTTTCCAGGAAGTCTTATTTGAAGGTCTTCATCAGTTGAAATTATTAGAAGATTATTTCTCTTCTCAGTTTCTTAGGATGAATGGTATAACAATTTTTTTAAAGAAATCCCCATCACAAATTCTCTGCTGATCTCCATTCTCAAAATTTTGTACATATGTGGAACAAGGACATGAAAATTTGTTGTTTAATTACATCAGCTTTGAAAAATTAGTACCTTTTATGATATATACTACCTCCACTTCTAACCTGATTATTCCACTTGATTATTCATTATATACCAAGGATTTTTTTGGAAAGGTACAGATCAGCAGTGAAACTGCAGCTGGCCATTTATTATCATTGAATGCTCTAAAAGGTTTACTATCACTGCTATAAATATTTTGTCACAACAAATATTCAAAGTAACCTTAAGAAACTGATATGTGGAAGAACTAATGGATATCATTGCTCTCATCTAGAGATCTGTAATTGATTGATTTAGGGGCTGATGCAGCTCCTTGCTGAACTGCAGACCGCCTCAGTGAGAGGGCGCTGGCATGACTTGTGCACAGTACGTAGGCTGTGGCTCGAGACTGTGGAAAAGTGGAAATTTATTCTTGGTCGAATATTTTCAGGAAGTTATATAATATTATAGGGGCTGGGGAGATGGCTCAGTAGAATAAGCGCTTGCCTGGCAAGCACAAGGGCCTGAGTTCAATCCCAGTTCCACAAAAATAAACAAACAAACAAATAAATAGATAATATAGATTAAAAAACAAAACAAAATGAGAATAAATATCGTAATTGATGAAGAAGTAGCAGCTACTTACTAGGGTTTTGACACTTTGTACATGGCAAGGTGGCCTTCCTTTTGTCTGTCCTTAGACAAATTGTGACTTTTTAAAAATCTC